AGGTGCAAAGCAGCAGCTGGTTAACTAGCACACTGCAACACTACATAACAGTTTAGGGCAGAAGGTAGAGAGAATGCCTTAGTAAATTGAGACTGGAGAGAAATCCATGGAGGCAGAATGTAATTACCTGAACTGGATTCAGGCCAGGGCTCCAGAAGTAACACCCTTTCCTATGTGAAAAGTGCATTGGGATCATTAATGGCTAAAAAGACACTGGCTTCATGACAATCATGCACATTTTTAAAAGGAATTATTTTAAGAAAGAGACATCACCTTTTGCATTATCTATCTGCAACAGCAGTTAGATACTGAAAAGTAGTCCACATAATACCTTCCCAAAGAACTAAATATATACCAATTTTTCATGAATTATCACCACAAGAACAAACAATGAAGAATTGACACAATACTTTACGCTTTAAAAGTTCTTTGCTCTACAACCACTTCAAACGCTTGAAGTTCATAAGCCAAGATCTCTAGACAATGATGATGGTTAAAGGGAAAAAAACTGTGAGCAATGCAAATGTTCTCCAAAGCTTTATCTGTCACCTTCTATTTACTTTCTTTAGAAATACATCTTCATTTTCCTAATTTAGGAAGTGGGGAAAAAGATCTGTAAGATGCATTAGGAAAAATGCCTTGCCTAAACTCTTGGAAGCAGGTAGGATATATCTATTTAAGAAAAATACTATTCTTGTTAAGTACAAAAACTACTAAAATCACTGTTCATATGCCTCATCTGATTTTAATAGAATCTGAAAAAGTATATATCAGCATTGGTCACTTTGAGAATGAGCTTTTCCTACAATCCTAAACACAAGAATACTGACAATGATCTGAAAGCAACACTGTAGATTTTAGCTTATTTCTTAAGCTGTACTATCTAAATACTTACTCTTCCTATCACAATAATCTCCTTCTACCCTTCAAGTAACAGTTTGAGCAAGAATCACATACACGCATTACATGAAACAATGATATTAGACTTGCCTTTTTGCTTAAGTGACTCCATCTTAGTTTCTTAGAGAAGAACTGTCACGTCAGGTTTTATAATTATAACTTGTGATGAAAACAATGCATCTGCGGGGGGAGAAATTCAAAACACCTATACTGCCATCTTTTGCTGTACACAGTTTCCTTTACATTCAGTGAACAAGATGCTCTTGGTAAAGTTGCACAAAAGCAGAGTAACTCTACAGAATATTAAGTCAGTTACTTGGAAGTATACTCATGGATACCTGCTGGTGAGTTGGTCCTGTAAGCTGAAAGACTGTTACATATGACCAAATGCACACTACTTGCTTTTGTCACTGTAAATAAAACTGATAAAAATGTTAATCTTAATAAGGTTACTGCAAGTAAGCTAAAAATAGTTGTTGGGCAGAGGGGTTGCAAAATACTGGGAAATGTACATATTTTATAGAAGCAAGTGCATTGACCCAGTATTAAGCAATTAAATTTATATTTAAAGAGACCTGTGACAGTGTGTATCTATTCATAGCAATATACTTCAGGTAGAATGGATAACGCCACATTTTATCATCTAGATTAAATGATCATAAATATAGACCTTTAAATATGAAATTATGATGTCCTTTGTTACATTGCAATTTCATTTTGTTTATATCATATGCAACATAAAAATATGGAGTCTTAAAATGGATTGTCAAATCACATTCTGGTTTGCATCTCTAAGTTTTAAAGATGAAAGAGTTAGAAGCACGATTCATATACCTATAAACCAAAGAAGGGTACAGTTTTAAATAATTATGTCAAGAAATGACAACTGTACCCTTTGTAGAAGCAGGGATGAATAATTACAAAGCTGGGACATAATTAAGCAATTTTGACTGTCGTATTCTTGAGCTGTCTTTCTGATGTGAAGTGCTGTCATGCCCAGAAACAGACTTCACACTGGACAGGCATCTTCCACTTTGATCTACACTTATGCCAGGGAAATGAGGTCATGGTCTGGTCATTAAACAAGGCTTCCTCATTTGGCTCAATGCCTCTTATCCAGTCAGGCTTACCCAATCTTTGTTAAAATCAAGAATGATACAATGTTCAATATTTTGACAAAAGAAAACATAAACATCAAAGAATAATGAAGTTTAGCTCACTTACATAGTGAGACAGAACACTGCATTGTAATATTAAACTGTTTTCTAATAAATGACTGCATCTTTCCATAAGACAGTCATATCACAAACATGGATTTTAAACAAAGGATGAAATGAAGCAAAGCACAAGTGCAGTGTTCTGTTAAAAAATGAAAAAATAGAGAAAAATGAAAGTCTAAAAATTTATACAAAATAAAATATTTATGACTTAGTGATGACTGGTGATTGCTAGATACTTTTGCATTTGAGTAAACACAAGCTAGTCAGATGGAAATTTCTTCCTTTTATTCTCATTTTGTGTATCTTTTTCTTGGTGGGGTATTTTGCTCTCCCAAGTATTTCTTGTCAAGACTAAAATGAAAACAACTCCCCACATCACAGTCTCTTTAGATCATCAGTTTGCTTTTTATGCTGAATAAGCCGTACCATCTCCTGCTTATCATAAAGGAGGGGAAAAAAAAAAAAGAACCCACCTCACTTAGGATTTTGGTGTTTTTTTCTGAAAAAGCAAGTCTGATAGGCTCACTGTTGTTACTATACCTGGCAGAATCTTTTCCATGTGACATCCACCAACATAAATACTAATCCTTCTCACTCATTCCCAGCAAGCATAGACTGACACAGTAGCTACTACCTTAGAGGTAAGGTAAAAAACATTCTTAGGAAGTTCATGTTCAGCAGCGTTTTATATCGCTAGGTCAACTTAAGGAGTCTTTCTGATGACCAATTCTGGATGTGCTGGAGTCTTCCTCCTAATCTGTATGAAGATGTACTCTTCTATAACTTCTAGTTTCACAGAGCTTGGAATATGCTACCACTAGCTGTCTGCTAAATTTGGTTGAAACTGGCTAAAAATCTCAACAACTATATGTAAGGGGATTGACGAACAGAAAGCACAAGATTCAGGAAACCTGAGGGCTGAAGGATATAAAAAACCCTTATGCATTCAATATATAACACATGATGAATAAATACAACTACTGTGTACATCATCTTTGTCATATATATACAGAGGAATGCTGCTTGTTATGGTCTTAGAATATAGCTATAAATAGACACATACATACATATCTGCATTTGAAAACATATATGCAGAGGATTCTAAATGTTCTCAGACCTAAAAACAGTTTGCATGCATGCGTACAAGTAGGAACATCCTAGAAAACAAGCAAAAATTCAAGGCACCTTTAAGAGGTTTATGATATCTGTTGCATATCCAATTTAATATTTATTTTAAATTAGCCACTTTTGTAATATATATATAATATTGTATGATGAGGGTAATTTTGTAGCACCTTAAGAAGCATTAATTCATGCTATGGAAAGCATTTACAATGATTTTACCATCAGCAATTTGTACCAAACCATTTATAAAGAAGAAAAAACACCCTTTAGTATGGCAATAACAACAGTAAATTTGAGCCTTCTGCAAATTTGCTGAAATAAATGTATGCTTTATCATAAGACTTAGTGGGTAAATAATTCAAAACTATACAAAAGGTTCAATTACAGATATAAAAGATAAAGATGTTATCCCTACATTTGTAAAGTAATTTACCCTTAGCTATTGACATAAAAAGGTTTCATCCAGAAAATGAACTTTAAATCTAAGAAACAGGCAATTTTTTTTCTTCTCTTACACTATTAAGTTGGTTAAAATTCAAAGCGTAGACTCTTAAATGAAAAATCTAATTGCTAATAAAATTTTTAAAAACACTTCATCAGATCCAAAATCTGATTAGATAAGATGAATTATAAAAGAAGACAACATACGTATGCTACATCTAACACATTTCAGCTGTTGCATTTGGCCAGATTCAGCAAAGATGGTATGCTGCAAGATAACTTAGAAATAAATTATTTTATTACATATATGAAGCTGAAATAACTGAAGGCAGTGGTAAACAACATATCAAAGCTATGCTTGTATCAGAACTGTTAACATTTTAGTAGTTATAAATTAATCAGTCTGAATTAAGTTGTTATGCACTGCGATTGTACTTGTGATAATGCATTTATCTAGCAACACTGTTATGCTACCAAACAGTGCATTTCCATAACTGCTACATTATTATTCAGCATTATTGGAAATCTGCAATAAATTATTGATAGTATATTTTAGAGAACAAAACAGCAGACAGAAAGCAAGTAGACTGAAAGCTTGAGTGGAGTTTTAAGAGAGATCTGCAGTATTAAAACACTGTGAAGCTCAGATTGCTGCTATTGTGCATTGATCAACAACAGAAAAAGAAAGTAAAGTGGAGAATTCCTATTGGCATCCTGTTTGCATCAGCAATATGCAGTATGACCAGAGTTGATACAAGTGCTCTTGATATCAAAAGCTCAGATTACTGAAACTGTCTTTGTGATGTTGTCAATGCTTATTAGCAGGACACCACATTAAGTAACATCATACAGAATTAAAATCAGCTGGTCCACTAAAAGACAATAAACACCATAGGTGTGAGCTTTGAAATAGACATTGGCATTTAACATAGAAGGCAGGGGAGGACTTGTCAGAAAAATTGCCTTCTTTCACTAAAACATTTCACAGAGTTGTTAAAAATCTTTAGACAGGGTACAGATAACATTTTAAGCTCAGTGATACATATTTGTTACTTTGTTATATGAAACAGAGGTTTGAAACCAGAAATCTGATAACATAACCACAGTCCGTTAACCAGATCTAACAGTAAAGTTTGACATTAAACCACAGAATAATTACTAAGACTTTTGTCCCTCATCTGATCATTTACCAGTCCTTTCATTTGAAAGGTTTTGTCTGTTACTTTAATGAAAGATGCAGCCAAGCTTTTGGAGTTATTTTAAAATAGTGTTAATGAATCACATTGTTGTTGCTTTTTGCATTGACTCTCCTACCTTAGCATCCTTGGGCTTAACCACTTTCATGAAGGCACCTCTTACCAAGGCTTCCTCTCTCTCCCTCCTGGTTACTTTCCGAGTATCAAGAAATTTCAGGTTTGTCAATTTGTGCAGGACAAAATATCTGACAGATAGATAATGCACACAGTTAAAATCCAGTAATAAATAGATATACTCAAAGGCTAAATTATTAAAAAATAACAGCAATAAGCAGCAACTGCGTTTGTTTCCCATCTCTGCAGTAAATCAAGGAGGACTGCCATTTGCCTTCCACCATACATCCTGAAAACCCATCCTTTGTCTTGAAAGTGTTCAGTGATCAAAATTCTTAACACTAAAAAAAAAAAAAAAAAAAAAAGAATGTGTCAAGAGAAAGCATGGAGAGTTATTCCTGGTCTCTGCCTTCCAGGATTACATTTTGAACCAGACACCATTTGGAATGAGGATTCCAATTTGGTCCCACCAGAGAGACATGGTGCCCTTATGGCATATGGATCTCAGCTCAGGATTAAATGGAGAAGCACACAGGGAGAGACCAATAGTATGAAAAATATTTTAAGAATTTAAAGTTCATTTTAGGATCCATCAGTATTATATTCTATTTATCCTTTTTACTCAAAGTACAAGAGCTTTTTAGCCTCAAAACAATACCATTGGCTCCTTTCTTGCAGAAGGAGAGAACATAGTAGATCAGAAACAAAGTAAGGCAAACAACCATGGCAAATCAAAATATCTAACCACCTCAAGGACATATTATTTACATGTAGTCATGTGAAGCAGACATTGAAAAGTGAGAAAAGTGCCAGACTTTTCCTGGCAGGGGGTAGAAAGGTGACTGATAATGTTCCCTGTGACTTGCTGCTTTGCATAAAACTCCAGTCTGTCAGAGAGACTCCTAATCTTACCAATCCCTTCTGGCACTGGGAGAAAAAAATCAAAGTAGCAGAAAACTGCATAACATAGCATTTTGGAAAAGAATGCCAGACCAAAAAAAAAGGTGTTTTAAAGGGTGAAAGTTACCTTATAATACTGTTCTCAAGACCAGATAAACATGAAAAAGACTGTAAGACTCCCCTTCCGCAATCACACAAAATTTAATGCTGCAAAGAAATCTTTCTGTCAAGTATGTCTTTCCTCTGAGGCAATAACTTTGTAAATTCTTAACAAGTATACTGAAAATGCTCAGACCATTTAAATTTGAATCCTCAATCTATGACTTTCAATGATAGTAGGAGAAGAAATAGAGTCACTTTACAAAACAGAACATGTCCTAAGACCATTTATTAAGCAGGTACAGATCTAAGAGACTGACACATTCTCAGACTCCTCCCAGCTTTCCCAGCTGCCCTTCCCATCCTCCCTGGCGTTTTGCTGGCCCTTATCTTTCAGTGGAGGAGAAGCTATCCATCTTGTGTTACTGGCAGAAAAGCTCTGATGACAACAGATTCTTTCAAATGAAGACATGTACAGAAGGAAACAATATGTCAAGAGTGAAGAAGAGTGAAGCTGAAAATGAGTAAAGACACCCACTAAGTGTAGGGTGAGAAAAGATGAATATTCAGGTGAAGAAAACATCGGTATTAGAAAATCAGCAAATGTTTAATGATGGAATGAAATATGCCATTGAAAAGCAGGCTGCAAGAAAAATGACAACAGACTAAGACAGCACTGTCATCTATGCTGACTTTGGATCACAGCCCTAATGTCAGTCTCTCAATCATTTCAAAAGAGCTTAAAATTATAATAGCATTCCTTGATACAAATGTATTTCTGTATTTTTAAGTTATCCTGACTGCACTTCAAAAAACAGAATTAGCACCAGTACTTGCCAATTCCAAAAAAAAACCAAAAAACTCTACCCTTGTAAAATAAACAGCAAACTACACCACAAATCACAGGTTGATTTATTCCTCTTTTCAAACTTGCACTCCTTAGGGGGAGCAAATATTAAAAATCACCATAAAGGTTATCCCACCAGTAGAACAAAGGTGTATCAGTGATCAACTCTTTTAAAAAGTGATTAAAAATAGAATCCCATTTATTCATATCCTTTTTACTAAATGTGGGATAAAGAGAAGCTATATTATATGAAAAAAACACAATACTTTTTTTTATTAAATGGCTGAAGAAATCTATCAGTATTCCTGGCTATATCTGAGCAAGAAATATGAAGATGCAGCTTCAATCTAAATGTAACACAAGTTTGCCATAAAAAAATACAGGAAAGGATTACCAAAGCCCTGGAATGAACACTTTACAATAACAATTCAACCCTTGTAAATTTAATCCAGGGTTATTTGTTGCACAAAATCTCTTTACTGTGATGTATGACTTAGTTACTAAGGTTATCACAGCAGCATCCTAAAGTTGCATAGTACATAAAACATTTCAGTTAACAATGCAGGGAGGTTAACTCCCACAGATAACCTACTATCAGAGGGTTAGACCAGATGACATGCCTCTGTCAGCTTTCAGGAGCTATTGATGGTTCAATCAGTTTGTTTTGAAGGTAAAGTACAACAAAAGGGCACTAAACTTATTCAAACTGTCAACAGGGACTATCTGGAATGTTGCTTGCAGGTAAGTAATTTTGGGTGTTTTAAGACTATTATCAAACACCAATGGTTGCAGAAAAAGACAGCTACTAATAACACAGAATGCAGCCATCATAAAATACTTTATGGCAGGTACTAGGACCAATAAATTGCATGACAAATTGCACCTGTTTTAGACTCGTAAAATCACTAGTTAAGAGAATGCTGTTTAATAAAGGAAGATCCATCTAAATTTTACATTCTAAGTTTAGAAAGGTTTATTTTAGGTTAGAAGGGTTGGGTTTTTTATAATCATTTTGAAACTTAGCACTGCTCCATGTGCTATGAGACTGCTGTTACTGGGTTTTAACATCTTTGCAGTGGTGTGAAAAAAGGTTATTATCTTCAGTGATGAGCATAAAGGTAAGCCCGAGAGAGAGAGAGAGAGAGAGAGAGAGAGAAAACACAAAACAAAACAAAAAACAACAAAACAGAGCCAAAAGGAAGGTGCTTAGAGATCCATTTATCACTGACTGCAAACTGATCTTCTAATTTGTGATGGATTAAGGAAATGAACTACGTAAGTAAAGTTGAATCTTCTTTTGTCTTTAATCATCTCCCCCATTGACTCCCAGTGCCACGAGTCCTGTGAAAATAAGCTAATAACACATATCTATCACACATAAACAGGAACACTCAGAGGTGGAAAAAGACCAGAGAATATCACATTTTATGTTATTTCAGTCTTAGTTAAATGAAAATTACAATAAAGATTAACAATTCATTTACTGACTTTGTAAGTGTTGCATGTGATTAGTATTATTTTAACAATTTTTACATAGACACAGTTTTACACCTGTCAAGATATTGGAAAAGAGGGACAGGCTTGAACGGGCACTTGCAAAGGAAAGCAGCGAGGTTGGGATTCAGCTGCTATTGACATTGGCAAAAGCTCAGTGCGGCAAAGCCTTCCTTTGAAGAAACATGTTGGAGTTCAGAAAGGGACAGAACAAAGACAGCTTTGAAATCAGCTATTGCTATTTATTAAACAATACATGATCGTAGTTTTTATATACCAAAATACTGGCTCTGATACTGACTCACTCTACAGCCTTTAATGAATCACAGACTTATCATCTTAACTCTGACTTACAAACAGGGAAACTAAGACCTATTGGTTACCTTGCAGGTACATTCTGTGTAAGTTTCTAGTTCTCTATTGTGTAGCAGTCATTACTTAAGTCATAGTCCTCGGGTTATTTCCTTACCCCCCAAAAATCAGTGATTGTCCATGTAGACTTAGAAAAAGTTTCACAGGTAAAGCAAAAGGGTTCAAAGAGAACACGTAAGCATTTTTTAAAGAATCACATGGAAGAAAGGAACAAATCTATTTAAAAAATGTGCAATAAATTTGTCAGTCCTAATGCAAAACATATAGGTTTAAATAACTTTTATGTCAACCCCTTATTTTTGTTAAATAGATACTGTGCACTTTCATTCTGATCTATTTTTTTAGTATACATTTAGGATCAGGCATAAAAAAATCCTTCAGTTTTAATGAGTTTTGGTACGCCACCTTTTCCTATTACTAAACAGTTCTAGGAATTTTTGTTCTAGAGCTGTGAACACCATAACAACAAAATTACATAATATCATAGCATCTAAGGGCCTCAATTCATTTATTACCTCCCTTGGAAAAGCAGACAAGTTGTAGAACATGGTTGGCCTTCTGATACTGAAAGATAATGGCATCACCCGTGAGCCACACTATAAGAAAATCTTAAAAGTGGCAATAAATAATTTGGGAAAAGAATGTTTTGGGCTTGTTTTGTTGTTTTTTTTTCCTCCTTCTGCTACAAAAAAATATAGTAAATTTGTATATGCTAAAGTTTCAGAGAAAATAAACTCTTCCACTAAACCTTTAGTGAAAGGCTATGATAAGAACTAGATTCTGTATATCCTTTATTTTGTACTTTTATTAACAAAAACTGGAATATAAAACTGTATTATATCCATCAATATTTAAGTTTAATCACAAAATTAATTTTGGATAGAGAAACTGGGAAATATTTGCCCAGAAGAATGCAGAAATACCTAGCTTTACCCATATCATAACTGCAACACTCTCCTTGTTTCAGAAAGTGTTTACTTCTATTTTCCTATTTTCTGTGCTATTGTATTTCCCTTCTTTGACAATCACAGAACATAAAAATAACATATCTATTTCAAACTTTGAAGGGCCGATTATGCTCTCAGTTACATTATTGTAAACTAGAAATACTAAATAACCTGAAGTTGGCAAAGTTACATCAGCATTCCAATGGGGAGAGATGAAAACATAAAAAAAAACCAAACAGAAGAATTGAGCAAACATGAATATGACACTGAACTAGATTATCACCAGTAATTGTTTCTTCTGCATCACCAAGAAGTTTAACCCTGTACCCTTAACCCTTAATCCACCAAACTGCATGTAGCTGGCTGCAGAATTTGCATCTGCAACAAAACTTCCTCAATACAGAGATAAGGAAGCCAGGTGATAAACCAACAGCTTCCAGAATAGGTGGCACCATGTTGACATGAGGTACATTAGAGGATCACATAGCCTCTGTGCAGCCATGGCACTGCCTGGTGGTGACCCTGTAATTCTGAGGGGCTTTCAAGTCACTCAGAAACCCAGACCACCTCCTTATACTTCAACATCCTCTGATCTACTTCAATGTAGCAAACAGCTTTAGGAATTGGAAAAATATCTCTCTATATATGTAATGATAGTTATGTTTTGACTTACTGTGTTAGTATGGGCAAATGTGTGTATTATGGACTTCAATTTATTTGGCTGAACAAAAACATTATAATAGCCCTAGTTTATATATCTTTACAGTTGCTAATCTCTGGTGGAAGTTGTGTGGCCAACTATCTGTCAAACACAGTTTTCTTTCTTCCAGATACTGCACAAATGACAAGGCCTCACACCAACAGTGAAATAGCATAGATTATTACATCATACAGGCATAACAGAATACCCTAATCATCTCATGAAGTACAAAAAGAACATATACAGAAGTAGCACAGACTTCTATCCCTCCTGCTAAGAGAGAGACAGTACATTCACCAATATTAGCATTACTGAGTGAGGACTTCTAGTCTCTTACTGCTTCTTGAATATGTATTTATATTACCATCCAAACTCAGTAACAAGACTACTTAAGGTAGATGAGTAGGTTCTGTCTCAGTTAAAAAAAATAAATAACCACCCCCCACTAAACACTAAACCAAAACAAAACTACAATAAAACAAAACAAAACTGCAAGGAAACTGAAAATGCTACAAGAGGACCCAGCATTTCACAAAATCAAACCTGTGGGATGGGAATAGTTGATTTAGCTTGAAAAGTTAATCCATGCAAAATGCATGTGTTTTCTTTCTTGCTGTTATATCTTAAGAGGACTTCATAAGGTTACCACCATTTGCTCTCCCTGCCAAAGATAGCATATCTAGTATATGTACTTTTAAGCTAATTTAAAATAAACTCTGCCATTTGTTTCCACTTGCTCTTGTTTCCATGTCAACAGCACTTAATGAATGCATCATTCCAGGAAATGTCAATAAGGAGCAAAGAAGAATGAACCAGCACTGAAAACTTCACACATGGCATACATCCTACACAATCGTATCGCTTTAATGAAAATAGGTGAGGTCACCTGCAGCATTAGCAAGTGCTTTGTAATACATTCTGACCCAGATGATTTTTCACAGTTCAGTAACACCACGTTTGAACTTTTCACTGCAAACAATACACCCACAGGACTGACCAAGTGCGGGTACAAGAGAAGCAACCAGCTTCCACTGTGTTGACTCCTGTTACTTTGATCTCCAGGTCATGACCTTTGCTTTCATGCTATCTTCAAAGTAGAGATTGTAGAAAAGGTTATTTTAGAACACGCGCTGTTTTGCAAGCTATTTTTCTGTGAGTCTTTCTTCCTGTTTGAGTCAAAAGCTTTTAAATCCTTCCTATCATAATTATATTTTACATATTCTGCTTTCCCTTGCCTCACCCCCAAGATATCCCTTTACAAAATATCACCTCCTAAACACAGAAAGCTTAAAAATATAAGATAAAACAAAAAAAGAACTCATAGCACAATATTTTATTTTTTTTTACAGAAAGAAACTAAAGCCATCTTACAATAATGGAAAAAAGCATGAGTTTTTAAAATGAACCAAGCAAGTTTGTTTATAAAAATACCACAGAAGGGAACTTTCTATTTTCATTTCACGAACAAGCAAAAATTCCAATAAGATACATAGAAATATTTTTATCAATTTGTTCTTCTACACATTTGAAAGGTAAGGAGGAGTAGCAGGGATGGAAATAATAGTTTTCTTTTTTTTCTTTTTCTAAAAAAATATCCCACTCAAACATTACCATGTTTCTTGGAAAAAAGTAACCATTTTGAGAAAAAGCCACAACAAAGTTTTTGTATAAAACTCACTCTTAATGAAAAACTAAGGAAACATTTTTGTATTGAAATGGATAGAAATGGTATACCAATGACTCATCTGAGGAACCTGATTGTAACTTCTTGAAAAAAGCAGTGTTTTATACATTTTCCAAGTATTTATGATAAAAACTAATTAGTTTTAGAAGATGCAATATTACTTTTTATCTCTGTTACCTCTATCACAGTAAACCATTGGAGCTTGAGTTTTTATAAAATTTAGTTTCCACATTTTTTTAAGGTTGATATTCTGGGGGGGTTTACAGATCTTTTCAGTTTGTTGGAATGAGAAGATTAAGCAAAGCTTTGATTTCTAGCGCCTTTCTCTTTCTGGTTCAGGAATTAAATAGCCTGAACTCTAATTGAACTCAGTAGGAATGAAATTAAAGCTCAATGAAAAATGAAGCTGTGGTTCCAATGGCCACTGCAAAAATTTACAAAAAAAAGAAATTCCTATTCAGAACAAAACACAACCAGTTAAAGTTTATAGCAAAGCAAAATGTTTACATAATTCAGGTTCACTGAAATGCAATCTTTTCATGCTTTCTGTGTGACAAATTTTCTCCAAAAAAAAAAATCATCTTATTAAAAAAGTTACTTCAAGCCATAAAAAATGCTGAAACTGGCTATTTCAACTGTTTACTTTTGAGATTTGAAGCAATACATTTGATAAAATACAAGTACTTTGTCACTTAGAAGAGCTTGCTGTTGTTAAAACTGTGAGATAAATCTGTACGTTTGGGGGAAGGAAAAAAAAGTTGTGTTCAAGATGCTTCAGAACATATAGTCAAATCTAGAGTAAAATTAGCAGAGTATTTTTAATCAGTTCCACCATGTAGGTGAATATATTCCCTTAAAGATAGATAGATCGATCAATGGATGGATGGATGAATACTTTTTGGTTTTGAGTCTAATTTTTTCTTGCAAACACATTTCTTAAAATGTAACAAATAATTATGGAAAAGGATCAGGAAACTTTCATTACAGCACCAGAACCATAAATCATTCAACTAATTAGAAGTCCATTCTTTGTACTTTAAAAAGCTTTAATTAACCTTGTTTACACAGAAAAAAATACTTGAGGTTTTTGAAAAATTGAGGGGAAAGAAAATGGAAGCAATATTGCAATTTCCAGCAGATGCAAAATACAATCACTTCCCACTTTGACATGGTGGTTTGCCACGATGTGACCTAAAAGTACCTTGACCTCCCTGAAATCAACATTTTGCATTGAAATGAAACAACAGACTTGCTTGTTTTGATGTATGGCTGTGTGACATATTATAAATATTACATCACATAACCACAGAGGATGTCAATCAATAAAGAATTTTTTCAGACAGCACTAAATGCACCATAGGTTCTTGACTCTGAATGGCTCCTTTAACATACTACTTTGGCTTAAATGATTAATAGGAGACATATTGTCAGAAAACATACTTAAAGTGAAAAACAGTAAACTGTAGAAATATCATTCATTTTTTAAGCAACTCTCTAGTGCAAATGCCACATAAATTTACATAGAGACAGCACTATTAGACTCTCATAAGCTGGATAGTAGGCATACCTTCCACTTAAGTGTGAAAGAAATGGGAAAATATTTTATTAAATCTAAGTTGCTCTACCCGGTAAATATAAAAGTGCTACAGCTAATCTGAATTCAGAAGTTGAACTGGTAGAAGGTGAAAGTCTTTACACTAATGACAAACTTGAAATCCTTCTCAAAAATTTGGAACAAATAAAAAAGTACATGCATATCTGGGACAACTCTGCTGCGGTTTCAACCAAGAGCATTTATGAGCAATAACAGATGTGTCAAATTCATGCCACTTCCCAATAAAGCTGCTTTTAGACTTCATCACTTTGTATTGTTTTATACTAACTTCTACAACAGAGTTTGGATTACATGAAGATAAAATCAGAGTTTTATTATATAACTCTGAATACTGTGGGTGACATCCTAATAAAAAGTAAGCTCAGGCTTTGCAAGGTCAGCAGCTGACCAGTGCAGCTTGGTTCTGACTTGCTTCAGACAGCCATTTTAAGCCAATGTAAAAAATGCCAGCACACAAAGGCTGAAATCTTGTATCACATGTGACTAAGGAAAGAGAAATCCAATGTTGGGGTATTTATAATAATCAATGTCTCACTTGCCTAAAGGCTATAGCTTTGAAAATTATGTCACTTCAGCAGATATTCTGCAGAGTTTTAGATATATACTCATCAGTCACGAGTATTTTTATTTTTTTAAAAATAACCCTTGTCACTTTTAGCAACATTTCAGTTGGGCATACAGTATTTTATCAGACTTCCACAATAATTTCCAGATGACCTTTCATTACAATTAAAATTACTCATTAAAATTACATTAGAGAAATAGTTTAGGGTCTTTTTATTCGAATCTTAACACTAACTGCTCTGAGTAAAGCAACATAATATAGGAGGAGTCCTTGTTTCTGTGTTCTTTAATAGTGCCTTAATAACGATAGTAGAAGAAACTCATCACCATAATCGAATGTTAGCAGAAGACAATGCAACTGGCTATATGAGTGTAGTGAATTTTTTTTAATTGACTGTCACCCTTAGTGTATGTAAATACTGCCTTACCTTGATATTAAAGGAGGAAAGGCCATAAGTAGGTACATATGAGCCCCCATATTCAGGAAATCCTGAGCACACCTGCCCAACTCAAGTATGTGCTATTCAGTGCTGAAATATTTATTGAAATAGGGTTCCTGAGAGTGATCTTGCTGAAATGGGGTTACTCAAATTTCCAAATGTTTCATAGCCAAATACGTCACAATGCTTTCAGAACAGAGTTGAAGTTTGTTTGAGATCCTGAATTGGTTTTGGTTCAATATTTTTCTGGTAATAAAACAAAACTGACATACCTTATCATGCATACAAGTGAAAACACTCACCTGTACCTCTGGTAGTCATCTTCATCCTTTTCTTTGCAGACCAGTTCATTTGGGCAGGCCATGTTTCCAAGCAAACTCAGATACTGTAGTGAGGGCACAACTTCAGCCAAATGATCCAAAAGGCTTTCTAATTCTGTTATGTGTCAAAGGATGTGGATTAAGGATTCAATTACATTAATGAAAGAAGCATTTAGAGTTACATCACTGCTGATTTAAACATACATTTCAACAACTGACAATCAAATTTAGTATGGCATTCGGGAAAATGTCACATTAATTGTTCCGAGCACAAACACGGATAAACTTCAGTCAGTTTTTTGGCATGGAATGAAAGAATTTTGCTGTTTTGCCATTCTTTTTGCCTCCTTTCTTTCCTAGGTGGTTCACTACAAAACATTAAAACTTTGACAAAATGATGGATGCTGTGTGGTAAAATGGCTAGCAATTGCTGGAGCCATGAAACTTTTCCAGCATGGAAACAAACAGTTAGTTTCACAGCACATTCATCACTAATATATTCAGTCCACTGGAAAATGAGTTTAAGAAAAAAAAAAGTCAAACCACAACAACCCACTTCCACTCCCAGCTTTGAGTGCCACAGCAACACATTAACTACCACTCAATTAGTATATGTGAATTAATGCTTCACTAAGAGCAAATTAACGTCTTCAATGTTACAATTATTTTATATAAAAAGCTTTAAATTATTGTAAAATTTTTCATTAAAATAGCCTTATATTTTTTTGCTCATGAGGCTTTTTAACTCAACTATATTCCTCAGAACATAAATAATGATGATACGGTTTTGATACTGTAAACTATATAAAAACAAACAAGTAAATAAGGGTTAAACTATCTTTTAACTACTGCCATATTGGAAATCACAACTTAAGTTTAAGCATAACGACAATATTCAACCATTTTCATGCTGTTGATTGATCAAATACAGCAAATTATTTTGTTATAGTGTGACAGTCTCTAAGACTCGAACTATTTCTTATTTACTTCAATTCACATGCAAAGAAAAAGTCGCAATTCTCAAAAGAGATGCCATGCATATGCATGTAAAAATTTTTCAACGTTTAAAAATTGACTGATGTAGACAATAGTAATAATTATTCAAAACTATTAAAAGGCATTTCATTGCTCTATTTCTATCCACTCTTACTGTTAGAGACCACAACGATTGTTTTAAATCCTCAGTTCAGTTATGTTGCTATTATTTATACTTGATTTATGTGTTTCTGTTATCAGTGTTATTTTTAGCTGATGGAATTTACTTTATTTCTTCACCTCAATATCTTAAGGGCAACAGAAGCAACACAGAATGGAAAAAGCAGCTTCACTGTTAAAAATGTGGTCTTCCTTCTGTAAGCCTATTTTTTCTTTTATTTCCAAACATATATAAACATCATGCTACAATTACTAATTTTAATATATTAAAATCCATGTATCTACACTCACAGTTAATGTTCTGTCCCATAAGGCCTGAGGAATCATACTCAAATATTTATCATCAGTGAGAAAAATGAGGGGTTTATATTAGTTCTATGAATTAATTTAAAAGCTAACAATGCTAACTTTTGATTTGGCAAAGTCACAGTATGGAATGCTATATGCCAGTAAGTAATCAACTAGAACCTAAGAAAAATCATCTTTTTGTAACACGGTATGATATAAATCTTCTTTGTTAGTCAGGATGAATTCCCAATCAAAATTTGGTGCTAATCCTCGTCTTCTCAGATCTGGACCTCAAGTTCATACATAAACTCTTTCATGACTCTTTCAGGAAGTATGTGACTGTGATGGGAAGGTCACAAACTGTTTTTCCACACATGTTCAAATGAACAGCTTTCTAAAAATTTCCTAAGACTGTTAGAAAAGTGCTTAAATCTGGCACCCTCCCTCAGCCAGGAGAAACACTTAATTTCTTGCAGGATTCCTTAAGTTGCAAAAAGGTTCCCTGAGAGAAATAGTTTATTGATACAAAAGACAGTTCTTTCCATAACAGCAACCACATACAAGGGGTTAGCTATTACAAGGCTTAGATTGTATCTGGCTATTTCCTATGGAAAGGAAAGTGGGGTGGGGAATAAAAAAACCAAACACCACAAAAAACCTTCCTTTTTGCTCTTCTATGGATTAAACGTAGAACTTTTGCCTGTCAATTCAGTAGAACTTTTCCTGGAGTAGAAGCTTTTCTCCCCAACAATTTGCTGAACAAGGAGTATGACATGTATTCTATATCTCCCTTCTGACCATGTGCACTTAGAAGCACATATCAATATTTAGATATGTAATGATGAAGAGCAGCTTAGATTTGCAAAAAGTGTAAATGTATACATCAAAACCCTATGGAAAGCAAAAGGGAGACACACTAAATTCACTAAGAGTTTTGAGTAAATAACAGTAGTTGATAATCTGCATCTCAAGAACCTAGATCTCCCCAAACTTGGAAATTAGTATCTAGATTCTAATATCTCACATCTAAAATCTAAGTGTTGATTTTTAGATGCACCCCCCTCTATAAATTACCTCGGGCGAGCACAACCAGCAATCACATACAGACCTGTTACCATGCAGTTTTGTGTGAGACTCCCCAGATCTTCTTTGTTATCATTTACTCATTTTAGCATTCTAGCATTATATCCATTTCAGCTGCAGCAGAAACATGTGCACAGGACAAACCTCAAGGATTGGATATAATCACCTCAAAAGTAGGTGGTCACTAATTCACAGAAAAGTTGAAGCTTTGCAGGCTTGGACAGCCCAAACAGGACATCAGCAGCACTTGAGAACAAACCATCCTGTGGCTTAGCATAGTCAACTTTTTTGTGCCAGAACAACTAAAATAATTAAAATTTCTGTTCTTTAGGACTTTAACTAATCCTTCTCATCCCTCTTAAAAACAAAACAAAACAGAAGGTACAGATTATTTTTCTAAGAAGCCCCATCCAACTGCCACAGTTATTCTTTACAAAGCATGTAGGAAAAAAATAAATTATAACCTGTTAAAATTCTCATGATTAAGTGTTTCTCAGAGATTAGTCATAAGTCATGGTGCCTTTCTAGAGTCCTGTTTAGTTAATTAGCATTCATATACTTCTTTTAATCACAATACTGGAACCACACAATGCCACAAAAATTGTAGTGTCTTTCCAAAACAATGCCAAGAAAATACAGAGGGAGAAAATCAAAAGCACATCTGAAATGTTATTGCCAGCTTCCTTTTTATTGTTTATTGTTGCAACCTAAGGAGTGTCATATTGGTGCACTCAGAGCCAAATAGCTGCAAAATCCTGCCATTTCTAAGACCTATTTCAGCTCCATTCTCTCCAAAAAGGAAAGTCACAATTAACTCCATGGACAGCATTAGTGAAAATTTATCTATTTATTTAAAGCTCTGCGACAACAGCCCTGAACTGATCTTTCTGAAGTCAGTGTCACTGGTCACCAGGTGAATATGTAACAGTGATGCAAATACTTAGACTTCAGTCTATTGTTTGAAATTTGTTTTAAAAAAAAACAAAACCAAAACAAGAAAAAGCCCAAAGCAAATGATGCATCTTCCTTCTCCAGTTTACAATTAACTGTCTATGCAAGCTCATAACATTATTGTTTGTTTCTTGTGTAGAAAATTATGTAGTGTGTATTAAAATTCTAGTGCTAGTCAGGAACATGTTTCCTTACAAACTCTTCAAAGATTAGTTCCACAGTATTCAAGACTACTACCAAGGAAGGATTGGTGTGATTAAAAGCTAAATTATCCCCAGGGAATATTACATTTGAACAAGGTCAAAGTTGTAAACTCTTTGAGTTAACAAGGACAGCCATTTTGATGCTAAGCTGTGTCTTGTGATAGCCAGCAAAGTAAAAAGATCATTCTGTTATGCTTCTGAGCAGCTATGTGAATCCACACAGAAACTACTGGATGATGTCTCATGTGTTCCACTATTCCAGACCTCCGTATTCTCAACAGTCTCTTTAGCTGTGTGCTTTCACTAGTCCCTCCAGTATATTTCCAGGGCACAGACACTGTATGTTTTTTATAGGGGGTAATATAAGGGTCTAGCTGCATTAAGTACTGCAGACTGATGCTGGTCATCCCAAACTCCATACTGTTTCCTTTTTTACCAGTATTCTTGATATATCCGTGTTCACGGTTGTTCTTTAGGGACAACTGCTGGTCAAAACTATGCAAAACCAGAAACTTTGCTAACATTTTCAAAATTAAGTTATTCTATTTCACTGTATACAAATGCTATGCTAACATATAAATGTCCAAACAAACTTATGGGTACTTCCTATCTCAGCACTCAATTATTTTTTTGTATATACTTTGAAGTATGCAAGAGAATCTGGAATTTCTTTCTGTAAACATTTCCTCTGACAGCAGTTCTTTTTACTAGTCACACACTCAAATACATAGACATTATAAGAAAAGTAACCACTCTTGTTCTCTCTCTCAGTGCTTTCCAAATTGCTACACCATTTTTTTTCAAAAAGTTTGTATTTAGTCTTTTCAAATTTTTAGCCATCCGACCTCTCCAGAAGAGTTGCAGGAGAGTTTTTCATGTAAATGACCTTCTGTGATTACAGCTTTTGAAAGTTCTTGGAAGCAAAAAAACCAAAGTAAAGAGCAATCAGTTTTACATTAAAAACATTTTTTAAATATGTACACAAATAGTATCAGAAATATCACACAGAATTCCAGACTGCCATGTAGAAAGACCCAAAACTGTCATTCAGAAATCTTCTGTCAACTAACCAACTGTCATGCAGGTGCTGCAATCAACCCAATATTAAAACAGCTGGACAGGACTTCTACCAGAGTCATAAATGAGCAAGGTACCTATATTTATTCCCATTTGAAATATATGCTTCAATTAAATACATCACAGACATGAAGTAGCAATCACAAGTGATTCTACAGGCAAACAGCCTTGAAGCAGAAGTTAACAATTCTTCTCTGAATGCAGTGTGAAAAGATCTTTGCCACCTAAACACTTTACCATTAGAATGTGCTAGGTCTTCAAGGTTGGATAACCACAGAAATAGCTTGCAATATGCAAATATACATCTTCCCCTTCTCTATGTGCAATAGGATGTCATGCACAGTCATTTGTATGCCACTTTCTGGCTTCAACCCTATCTGGTAGGGAGACAGGGTTCTGCTCACTGACTTTAAAACCATTTCACTTAAGAAAGAAAAGGGGCAGCACAGGTGGTAATTAACCAATTCCATACATCTCATGGACAGCTTCCTGCATTCTAAATACTTTCTGTGTATAGCTGGAGTTGCCAGTGCTTTTAAGGGTATTTGAGAAAGCCCATGGTTCCAAGGCTGCAGATTTCAGGACCAGGTTTCAATGTTACTTGGTAGACAAACATGAGAAAAAGGAGAAATGTTTCTATTCCTGCAATCAAATTATATTTCTTGTTCTCTAGAGAGGTATATCCTGAAACCATATGTCCTCTCTTTCAAAGTTTGCTTTTTGTTTGGATTTTTTTTAACATCATTCTGCTCACATGTTGCTCAAGGTTCCCAAGGCAACACAAAGACAATCAAGAATAAAGCAGCAAATTGCCATTTTTTTTTAAAGTTCTGAGATCTGGAGTTGGACTGGTCCAAGCACTGCTGTAGAACAGGATAAGGAATCCCCTGGACTGAAGACTATCTTCCTATTTCATAGACATTTGGCATTAGGCATTCACACTACTTAATTTTTAATTCAACTATGCTTTATTCTAGAAGAAAGTTTTTTGGCTTATCAGGTACTGCAGTTCTCTAACAAGCCACACTCAGATTTAACCAAATCTGCATTTGTGGCATAGAGAGCTCAGGAGCATATGCAGGAAGACTGCTGTACCATTTCAACTTAGATCTTTGTGTAGCGGAAATAGGTATCTGTGCATAATAGGAGACAATTTATGTCTTTAACGTATTCACTCAATCTAAACATCAAGTTCTCAGCACTTAACATAATGAGATTCTGGTCAGACTGGGACTTCTAGGTCTTCAAGCACTTTAGGACAACATTTTTTAACAGATTACACATTACAGAAAAATTTAGGTATAACACTTTGAAACTGTTTTTAAAATAGTAATTTTAACTTTGCTTCTTCCACTTCTAGTAGAAAAATTGGTAGTTGCCTAACTGTAACTGAAATACGCAACCACTAGTTGAAGAAAATATATTAGATGATTATTCTAAGTATTTACCTGATTTAGAGTTAAGCTTTCACATTTGTATCCAGACATTATGTTAGAAGGGGCCAACTGGTATTTACACATACAACACCACACAATAAATGAACCATGCGAAAGGAGTAGAAAGCTCTTATCAGAAGTATTGAAACAGGATCTGGATCAAAATGAAGCCAAAATAAAAGGAGAAAAATAGCAAAGAGTACAGTAATGTTAAGAGATATCCAGGAAAGCTCTCACATGAGTTTCAAACTTTACATGTTATTCCAGTTTTCACAGGGTCCAGTTTGACTTTGTTTGTTTTCATCTCTCTCTCTTTTCCATATGTATATATTTATGTATACATGGTAATAATCCACCAGTCAAAGTTTTGTTTCAGATCAGTATTCTTTGCTCACTTGCGTCCTTTCTGTAGTGCTACTGTTGTATACTGAACAATTTTTCCTGTAATGTATTTCATTCTTCTATTCAATGTACATTTGTATTTCAACATTTTAAAAAAATAATTACATAGAGAAATCATTCCTTAAAAGAAGTTATTCAAGCTCAAAGGAGTCCTTTTTCATCCACATTGAAGAGAGTAATCTGGAAACTCTCCATGCTTCTGAAGACTGCTATGTCTTCCCTAAAAGAGATCATTACTCCCTAGCACTCAAAATGTTGATGACGAACAGCAGTTGTTATTTCTTCTCTGGGTGGTTTGTATACATTAGGTGTTTTATGAGCATTTCTGCAACTTCACTGTTAAAATATTAGCAGCAAAATAAAAAAATGTATACATTATTTCTATAACCTGGTGCCCTGGTTTGAGCTAAATAGAACTAATTTTCTATGTAGTGATTTTACTTTTGAGCTCAGTCTCTTTTAAGTGGCTGAACTTGCTAAAACTAAAGCCATTGTTTTCCCAGACAGTGCTGCTAGAAGATAAGCTCAGGGTCAGTTGTCTCACCATGGGTGCCATGTCTGCACCTATGGGGCGAGGGAGCAGACCCAAAACTGACCAATGAGGTATTCCATCCCACATACGTCATGCTCGGTATAAAGCCGAGGGATCACAAGGGTCTCGACCCTTCTTCCATCTTGGACCCTTCCATCCATCTTGATTCTGCAGAGGCCGAGGTCTGAGCAGAACCCTGCTAGTTCTTTGCCGCTGATCCTGATTCGTGTCTTCGCTTCCTCCTCCCACCTGCTGCTGAGTTTGGTCTGGGACTCGGCTCCACAGTGCCTCTGGTGACGTATTCGTCATTGGGGGAGGGTGGGGGGACAATTTTATATTGGTTTTGTACATATTTGTATATATTTCATTATTTTCCTATTTACATTATTATTCTGTAGTATTAGTATTATTGTTTCATTAAATCTGTTAGTCTTATTTTCCAACCCATAAAGTCTCTCTCCCTTATTCTCTTTCCTCTTCCCTTCTGGGGAGGGGAGAGGGGTTAATAGAGAGCGTCTGTCCAGGATTTAGTGGCCAGCCCAGCCCCACAAGCCGAGCCCTAAACCATGACACCTGGGTAGCTCAATACTCTCAATGCTCTAAGTTCACAGTTTAAAGATTGAATTAAAAAATCCCAGGATAGTTCAAATCCTTCTTATCACATTATTGACTTTGAGAGCTTACTCACTTGACAACAGTATTTTAAATATGTCAGTGAGACCAGCAGAAACTCTTTAAAACATACTACTGACAGTAGTATTTGTTCACTGATCTTGTTCCTTCTGATTTTGTTCACTGAGTTCTGATTCAATACACCTTGCCCTCCTTTTGGTAAGAGCAAACCTCCTCCTTGACACCCTCCCAAGGAACAAATACATTCACATGCTTTTGGGTCTCACCGGCAAATTTATATTTTAGGCTTTGCAGAAGGAGATATGTTGCACCAGCTATACCACCACTCAGCATCAGCAAAAATATTCTTGTCCATTCTTCATCAAAGCATGCCCAGCTCAGATTTTACCAGGGCAGCAAGCCATAAGACCAGTTACTCAAATCCAACCCACAGAATCCCGGATTTAACCAGAAATCTAGCCAAACACCTAGTACAGTAATGAGCGCTACTGCTTAAGAGACACTCTTGGCAAAATTCCAAGGCCCCAAGAATAAAAGTTACTCTGCTGATTTTTGCTTATTTATAGTCAAAAATAAGTGCTGAAATCATACAATGAGCAGTTATTTTTATTCTCCTCAGTAGGAGGATTTTGCTTTAGTAGGAGGTAAATTGCTCTCTGTTTACATTGTCTGTAATAAAAGCCTGCAGTTGAGCAGCCTTGTCCTCACACTGCAACTACAAGGAGAGAGCTTTCATGGTCTGTTCTCTAAGACTCTGCAGGCCTCAGTTGGCCTTTTGGCCACAATCTGATTGCCTTTCACTTTTGTAAAACCATACATTGTGCATCTTCAAATCTTCAGAAGGGTCAAAGTATGGCAAAACTATTTAATAATCAAGGCCATGTCCAGTCCTTGCACATAATTAGTTTTTACAGACCATTATCTATAAATCTATAGACTAGGGGCTCTGATTCAGCAGAGTACTTAGGCAAATGCTGAAATATTTATTCTGAATAAACTTAAGCAGGCACTATCTTCAGGCATATGAGAAGTGCCTGATTGGTTATGAATGGATTTCATCATCCATCTGAATACTTCAATGTGTTAAGATCTTGATTTGGACAGGATTTTATATTAAGTTATAGAGTTGGAACACCAAGAATACAGTGACTTGCTTTTACAGCTGCGGTTCCACAGCAGCTACCAAATTGTGCATATTACCAACTTAATTAAAATAGAGTAAGGTACCGCATTTATTTGTTGTGGTTTGGTTTTTTTGTTTTGTTTTGTTTTTTTCATTTTACTTCATTATTTTAAGATCTATTGAAAGTATAAAACTTAATAGCGTTTCACTGCACTCTCTATTCCACTAGAGGTCAGCCTGCAACAGAACCCCAAGCAAAGACAGGAACTGCTGCACACCGGTACCACTGACATTATTTTCTTTCTCTATTTTATCTATTAGAAAGATTTCTTCGGAGCCATAACTTAGATCTCTCACTAAAATGGAGCAACAGAAAGATATAATGGTGCATTTCATTTATGAATGACCTATAATAAATTACTATGAAGTATTCCAGGTGCCAAACGAGAGAATGCTTTGTCTGCACATGAACTATATTTCACATACTTTAATTTGGCTGACACATAAAACTCATTTGACATTTTGCAGGTATTTCTTTGAAAGGATATTTGGTTCTTGTTGAGCGTTAAGGTATGGAGGTGGGGTAACTTGGGTAACAGAAGGTCATTTCCGAGTAGATTGTTGTCCAAGATCAGCTCTTCCAAGTAACTGAATGTTTTCAGTCCTTCTAGTGACCTGCAAACGACAAAGGCAACAGGAAAAATGATACTCCACTAAATCAGGGAGGCCATTATGAGCTGAAATAAATATTTTAACCTTCCCTTTCAGGAGTGGGAATAGTTTTGGTTTGGGCCTGTCAGAAGAGTGAATGACAAGCATTAGTGGCAAGGGGAGTGCTGGCACTGCAACACATCCTTCACATGCTGGCAGGATGAAGGATGGGGGTCACTTAGTGAGTAGCCAGGATCCAAAACAAAAGGCTTCAGATATGGGGCCTGCAGGATGAATTTGTCAATGTCTTGTGCCTTCAGGCACCCAGCCTCGCCTGACCCTAACCTCCATTCCCAAGATAAATAACTCTGTCACAGTTCACCTTCATTCCCTGGACACAAATTTAAGTTGTCATCCATCATTTCTGCCAAGAAATATCATACCCCGCTAACAATAATAAATACAACTTCAAGTATCATTTCTTAGCAGTTACCTTACATGCAATAATAGGAAACAGAGAAGGGATTTTTTTTCCCCTTTTTATTAACCACTTAAATTGCTTCTCAAGTTCCTGCAAACAAAATAAAATGTTCTCTACAAAATAAAACACAGAATGAGTCCAGACAGAAAAGGCATTTGCTTTCTTTTCAGAACTTACTGTCCTGCTGTTAAGTCAAAGGTCAGACTGCAGAGAGAAGCTTTAAAAAGGAGCATTTCACAACATGGAAGTGCAGATGATGGCTTGTAAATAAACAAGATTCTGGAGTTATTCATTCCTCTGATAGCAAAGTACAGGGGGAAAAAACTAAAAAGAACACTTTGGTACCTTGTTAAAGCATTTATTCCAACGCGATTCTTAATGCTCACGCATTCCAACAGGAAAAAACCCACACACATTAATCAACTAAGACACATGGTATATGCAGCATACACACAGACACACATTCACAGCTCATTCACCTACCAGACACCAAAAGATATGCTGAGATTGCATGACTTGACAGCTGATCTACTATGCCTACCAGTGGGAAGATCATCACTGTATCTCCTGGCTGTTTTATAAAATACGATGAATAAGGGAGATGCAGTCTATACTATTTATTCAGTTTCCAATGACATTTATACTGAGAGGATTTCCTCACCCTTCCCCCAGTTTTTGGCAACAATCAAAATACAGCCAAGGTCCCTGTTAGAGAGTTCTACAGGCACTACTGCTGGATGAAAATACATCTATTATTAGAAAGTATATGGGTTTCAAATTAGACAATTTAACATTCATCTGTCCAACAAAAACAAGATACTGCTTTTGTAGATACAACTTACTGATCACTTATAAACCATAGTTAGAGGGTTCAAACAATTGAATTAAAAGTCAAGTCTGTGACCTTTACACTCAGTACTGTACGCTAAACTATAAATATTCAAGTAACATTTGCACAACACTGAAACAATGTACTTCAGTCCAATGACTCCAAAGCACTCACTGAGTGTTGACTTGGCGTTCTGAAGTGGAGGTGCAACTATTATTAATGCCATTCTGATGCTGGGTCAGAAGAAAATCTGACCCAGATCTGAAGAAAATTTGCCACGCCTACACCCCATGGCATATCTTTATTGTTACAATGCACTGAGACTACAATTTCTGAAGCTGAAAGAACAAACGTTTATCTTATAAACATTATACTGAAGCAACCAGCACAGTAACAGTCACACTTTTTGCACTTGCCCTTAACAAGTTGTTTTGAAAAAACTTGATTCAACCTACGTAAACTGTACACCATTCAGAACTGTGCTAGCATGTCATATTAAACTATCTCTTTCAGCAAAGGGTCGCAACAGGCTGGGTTTTGCCAAAGTCAAGATCAGAAGAGAGATCAGCAAACATTTCAGACAGTGCTTTTCTCCAAGTACCTTTAAAAGGCAAAATAACCCAGAGGAAGTAGCAGTGAGTTTATCAAGCTGTTATGAGTTCTCATTTCAGTTTATTTGACAAACCTAGTTTAGCAAATTCCCCTTAAATACTCTTTATTGTATAAATAGTGGACTATTTCCAAACCTCACATTTCAATGTAAGACTTTGACTTGCCAAAGGAGTTCCGAGAAGGCCACCTCCTTGTCAACATCACAGAGCCTTATGGGATGTTAGTAGGTCCTTTGTGAAAAAGCTCTGCTTGGGCTCTGGTCAGTGTCAGCATCAAAATACACATTGTTCCTGAGTTATGTTATGCAAATATAATACTCTTATCATGAGAATCAGCGAATGGTTGGCAACCGGCAAGGAGAAGAAAGCACACATCCAAAACTGCTGCAGGGGAGGCATAAAACAAAATGACAAGCCATGAAGTGGGACAAAAGGCCTTGAAACACTAGAGGGAGTTGCCTATTGAAACAGCCTTTCTTTCACAAGCCTGGGCTGAACACAAGGGTACTAGTTTCATAGATAGGCAGAGAAAATTGTGCGCAAATCTCCTTACACCTGTCTGGTTTTGATAATTTTTGCCATGTAATGTTATTAGCTGCTCAGTTAAAAAGGAGCAATGTTACACAGAGGTTTGCTTATTAATTGTTGTTTTCATGTCATCAGAGCTGTGTGCACTTGGTGATTTAATCACCCAAATTCAGAGTCCAGAAGATGGGAGGGGTTGCCACAGTACAGAGAGAGGGTGTAGCCATTAACATAAATTTACAGCCATATGTTATTTTGCTATTCTTATTTTTTCATCTTAAACAGAAGTAAACACTAGTACCAAAATAAAGTTGGTAAGACAGTAGGTAATGAAACAATCAAGGAAAAAATGTGTTTGCTATCATTCAGTGATACTAGCTACCAAATTCAAGGCAACAATCTCTGCCATCATAATATATGTGGAAATATTGCCTAGCAGTTGTACTCTGCAATTTAGAAGTTTTAACCACAATCCACACAATAGGTTTTATGGTGCAAACTTCAGTAAGTCCCATAACTTCTACGTTCCTCAATTTCCCATCTGCGGATGAGGGATAAGAAAGGACTGCAACCATGAATTACTACACAGAAAGCAATTCTGTGAGGCAGAAGTAAAAATCAGTACAAAATACTGGCATTTTTATTTTTAATGAGGGGGAGATAGTTATATTAATGTACTGCAAGTATTTCCTTATGAGGAAAAGGAAAGGCATGTGTATAGATACACAGCATAACAAGAAACGCACAAACACCCTAAGAGACAAGTATAAAAAGAGGGATATCCCCCAAGAAAGAAAACCAGTCTAAAATTAAATCTGTGCTGTGTTCTCATAGTTCACAGCAGAAAAAATGTCTCCCTGTCTTAGTACATTAAAATAAACACAATCTTACCACCAGAATTCAACCAGCACTGAAGGGGCAGTGGCAAGTCAGTTGTTCTCCCTAGTTTCAAAAGGCTAATAAACATCACTAAGGTGTATTGCAGGTTGCTTTTCCCTGCTCTAATGACATGAAAGCTGCCCATTATCTCACCCACAGGTACCATCTCAGTTACCTCATTGCAGGGCTCACACTTTGCTCCCAGAGGAGAGCAAGTGCTGCCAAGAGATTTCCATTGCAATTTCCAAAGTCACATCAAACCGACAAAACATCACAACGTATTCAGTGCCGCCTCATTCAAACAGAAAAAACTTTACATTTCCACTGTAATTAACCCTATCCTCGTTAAGATAATTATGATCAAGCTCCCTGTCACAGCTAATATCACAGCATCATTGCCTATGGCTCACGCTTTGCCCTCATTAGCTTACAAAAACACTGCGCTAAACAGGAAACTGACTCCCTCTGCAAAACGACTTAAGATGTTCTGTAAGCAGACAGTAAATAATCCTTTAGAATACAAAGGTCTCAGAAATGTCATTTTATCCAACCCTTCGGCTAATCAGTATGATTTCTTCAAGCTTTCTTTCCCATAATTCATACATGGTTTGTAACAAAGTTTTAATCATAAAGGAATGTCACGGCTGAGATTTTTTTTTCTCTATGCGTATGCATGGCAATTGTCAACCACACTATTGCATACGGTCTCTCTGGCGAGACAGGGATTTGGTTACGATGAAACTAAAGAGTAGCTCTTCCTTTAGGTAATATGTGACAATGAAAACATGAGATTTTATAAATGAAAAAAAGCAGAAGCCTCTCAAGTAATGGACAAACCTGGGTACACTGCAGTTTTCCTTGTCCAGACGAACAAGCTGTTCAGAAGTATGGGCTGAAAAAGAAGTGTTCCTCATATTTTACCTCACCCCTCCATTAATAAGACAGCTGCCTCATATCTAATGACTTTTTCCTCTTGTTTAACAGGAAAAGAGAGAGCAGTTAACAATATGTAAATGAGAGATTTTGGCTTTAGCCTTGAAACTGATTTGCACTCTGTTGACAAGAGATAGCCATTACCAGAAGTTAAAGACAGAGCTGTTACAAACAAGAGCTCTTTAAAACACCTTTTTTTCTTGCCTTTCATGTTTTAACCGATTATAGGAGAGTAGAATCAACACCAGAACCCTAGTACTAGATAATTTCAGTATTTAAAGAATAGAAATGTAATTTCTATTTCTAAACACCTGCCAGCCAAGGAGCACAAAGCATTTTTTTCTAAACATTAATGAATTACTCTTCAAAAACCTGCTGAGTTTAAAATCTCATTTGGTAGTAAAGCAGAAAGAGGTTAAGTGACTAACGAAAGGTGACCTCCAGCAATTTTCTAAGAGACAAGAAATAAAACCCAGTGCTCCTGACTTCTAGTCCTTTGACTTAACCTCACCAAAACAAAACAAAGAGCAATAAATAAATGCTATATATATAAAAACATAAGACAGACACACGTGTAAGTTTAGATCTTGCATAATTCCCTGGGAATGCAAAACATCATTTCAGGTTTACTTGCTTTGATTCCTGTTCAATTTTAAATTCCATTTAATCTGAAATATAGCATACAAATAATAAAGGGGAAAACCCGAGCTATTTCCAATTCTGTTCTGATGGTGGAAGGGGTTCAGTGAATCTTCTGTGCAACCTCCCTCAGGCTGAGGCCTCTGTCAGAATTCCACTCTCAAA